CTGGATTGTTGTAGTAACAAAATCGGCTCTGGCAGTACCAGGTCGGTTCGAAGAAAGAATACAAAATCCTGAAAACTTAGAGCAGACTGTGCTCTGGCTTTACATCTCCTGATATTACGCCGAAGACGTTGGCATTGGGAACGCGTTTTATTTGTGATACTTATTAATCTTGGTGGTTCAGGATGGAATTTAACATGGAATCGCTTGTCTAGTGGAAAAGAGTATTGTCGGTATCCAAGATACCCACTTGCACGACTCACAATTTTTTTCCTCATGCACTGCCAATGATCGACTGTGGAATTTGAAAATTTTCTCGGGAATATCATAACTAGATCCACTTACTTATATTGCAGATAGCTTCGATTTTACTTCTACGCTACATAGCAGATCCTACTAAACTAAAGTGAAAAGCTAGAGTATTTTTGCGAAACTTTGAGCTTATTTATTACTTTGGTAGTTAATATTTCAAGATAAAAACTATACTAAAACCATCTAGCAAATGTCAAGAATCAGTGTGCAAAATTTCAGTTAGGTCGGTAGAGTAGTTTTCACGGTTAGCGATTCGAACAGTTTTAGCAACTTTGCTTTTTATACATGTAAGATAATAATCAACTATTTTGCTTAACTTTAATGTTGCATAACAAACCTCAATAAGGGATGACTAGTCTTCATGCCACATTTTTCATTCCACCTTTACTAATGTTATCATTAAACATTGAGTGATGGCTCCAACTTTTACTTAGGTATTGCAATAAACCTAAGAAGTCAAATAATTTGTATTAAGAGCATGTTAATAATAGTTTGATTTAGTATAAACTACGCAACTAACTTTGTTTGACACAGTTTGGAATTGTATCTGAGATTAAGTTTCTTAATATCAAAACGTAGAATTATCTATATACATGAGTCAAACTGACTTTAATTTTTAAATTATAACAAATCAAAGCATATATAATAAACTAATAAAGCATGTAAACAAAATACAATAATAAGAAAAACAATGAAAAGTTGTACAAAGCTAATGCTTTGAGGGATGAATCAAGCCAAAACTTATTACAATTAGCTGCAGATTGATGTTTTAAAAAATTCAGTGCATAAAACGAAGTTTTGCCTTCACCATTACCTCATTTCAACAAATTTCTATAATTTATTCATCACACAGTTATTTCTATGTAACATTATGAGCTGACGCATAAAGCTGGTACCATGAAAGTATTAATAAAGCCTCAATAAATGCGGATTAAAAGAGAAACATTTTAGCTAATTTCAACGAGATTAAGCTTGGTTCATCGCTTACGGAATTGGTTTTGTGAGTCTTTTAATTGTTTTTCATTCAAATAAGAAAAAAATTAATGGTTAATAAAAACTCATCAAAGTAAGGTAATCCCTAAAGTAGAAACTCTCAATGATATACTGAATGCCCTTAATCCAGTGTCATTGAAAACTGAAATCAAATTTTATAAGTTGAACCATTTTTGTAATTAAGCGCTTTTATTTGTGAGATACATAAATTTAGAGTCAAGTATTGACATCATCCTATTGCATTTTTTATTAAGTTTTCATCTTATTTTTAAACAGAAGCTTAGAACTATAAACTTAATTTTATTATTTTTTAGAGTTTAACTTCAGCTTTTGTTTATACTTGCAATAACGCCAAATCCTAGTCAGTTTTATCATTCAAGCTGTCATAATCTTAAATCACAATAACAATGGATCGCAAACTTCGAGACCTTACAAACTCAAAACCCAGTAAGTTTCAAACTCCTACCTCTTATAATTTTGAAACACAGTACCTTATGCAAATCAAGCTTATAGGATATTTAAACTTAGTAAGTTACACGATTTAAACTCACATAAAGTCAAAATGCAGTAAGTATTATACACGAGACTCTTATGTGCTGAAAACCTTGTGAATTGTTTCCATTAAGTTTGTATAACCGTTATCTCTAGTACATTACATGATTCAAAAAGTAGAACCTTCAATTGCAGGAAGTTGTAAGCTTTAAAAATGTATAACCTTATTACCTAAATAGTTATTCGCTGACAGCATAACTTTCAAAACAGCACGTTACATACTTAAGCACTCATAAACTTCAAGTAGTAAACTTCAAGCTCTAATGACATTAAAATCCCTTCAATTTTTTAACTGAAACTCTTGCTCCTCTAAAACCTCAAAAGTTTCATAATTCCAGCTTTCATAACCTCAATACTTAGCAACATTCATGATACAAACTCTCATGAGGTTACAAACTCAAGCATGTAACTTACCGTGTTATAAGATTTTAAGGGCTCTAATTATGGGACGCACTGCATTTTGTTTTCATAAAAGAATTATGGAAGTTACTGGATTTAAAGTTGTATGTGTGTGAAAGCCAAAGTTTATTGCATTTTAAAGTTACAAACTTTTGAATCATGTAACTTACGATGTTTTGTTTTTATAAGATCTTGGAGCATCTAACTCGAAAATTTAAAAGCTCTAAGCAAGTAATTAAATGAGTGTTAAGTATCTAAATTCTTAAAGTATGCAACTTACTAGTTTTTCAATTTATGTTGAAAGCGCACAACTTACAGGAATTAAATATTATAGAACCTTAAAGCATGTATTTCCTGTAGTTTCAAATCATATAGAGCTTGACAGATAAAATTTACTAAGTGTTGACATTATGCAAGCTTGAATCACATAAAGTAATGCGTTTGGACGTTACGTAAGTTTGTATAATAACAGTTACTGTATTTTTATGTTACAAATTCTGGAAACATTAGTCTTACTGAAATGTGAATGAAGCATGTGATTATATATGGTTAGAGATACTGATCGTTGAGATAAGATAAGCTCAAAATTCAAACTATACTAAAATTTGAGGTAAAAAGTGCTTTAATAATGTATTTCTTTGGGTTAATAGTAGAGATCTATTCACATAGACATACTATTCACATACACGAGTTTTATTATAAACGTTTACAATGTAAAGATTAAAGATTAAATTTATTTAAGGCTAAGGACTCAGGGTCCTTAATAGCCTAAGCATTATACAAGGCTCAAAATATGAGCAATCTACTTGTGCTTGCAAGCACTAAGCATATAACTAAATGCAGGCAGCTTAGTGTTATTATAGCTTCTTCGAGACAAAAAATCAAATATAATAGAAAAATGTATGAGTTAATCAAACTAAAGGTTAATAGTTATACTAGATTAAGAGAAAAATAAAGTCAAAGTAATAACTGCAAGTAAAAGGTGTCGATTCATAGCACTTATGATCACTGAGTCACTTGAAAATAAAGATAAAGATAGTTTGAGAGGCGAGGATTCAGTCGCTTGAAGTGTGCAAAAAGCTCTCCATGAAACGAGCTGGAAGCATATTTAGCTCGAATGTAAAGGGAGTTGCACGACATTGAAAACCTCAAAAGTAAATGAACGGATCAAACAGACCTATATTTTTCCCCATTAATGTGTAGAGAAAAATATTGGTCTGTTCAATCTGTCCACTCACTTTTGTGATTTTTAGTGTCACGCAACCTCTTTTTCATTATGAACGTTCATATTGAAACTCGTGTATTATGTTTGAATAGCTTATAGGTATATGACATATAGAAGTAACTATAATTTAAAGTTATAAGAGTTTAAATCATAAACTTAGTGAATTTCAAGTCCATATAAGCGCGGTACACAAAAATGACTGTATAGAAAGTTATGAGAGATTAGAGCATGTTTTTCCTAGGTTAAAGATTTCCATGAGCTTAAAACGGGCAACTGACAGAGTATTGGGATAACAAATGATTAAAAGATATAACTTTCTTGGTTTTAAGGTTACAAATTTTTTAAGCATGTAGCTTACTAGGATTGAAGTTTCTAGCATCTTAGAGAATACAACTGATGACGATTATAAATGTTTCGTTTAAAAATTCGTTTGTTTTTGATGAGTAAATGCGTGCATTCGTTTATGGTTTACATGAATAACTTTTTTTCATTGATTTCGGGTCGTATAAAGACGAGCTATAGTTGATGTTGTGTTTTAGTTTTAATCTTGAAACTTACGTGCAAAAAGAAAATAAGTAAGACAAAAGCTTGTAAGCGTAATAAAAGATCGTAATGAATCTTGCTTAAAAAAAATTTCATTAGAGGTTTTTTATAAGAACGTCAGCAGATCTCACACGACAGTTAACAGACGTTGTGTGCTTGTTTTATAATAGTTATTATGCTCTAGTATTATAAGCACTAAAAGTATAAGATTTACTTGGTTATGATATACTGATCGCTTGAAACGTATGAAAAACTGGATTTCGACGTTATCTGAATCTCAGTCACAAATACTATTGTGTTTTAAGATTTTAAGAGCTCTAAGATGAAATTTACCTGGTTTTTGTTGTATAAAAGTCAAGTATGTAACATGTTCTAATAATACATCCTTTATCTCCAGAAATTTTGTCGAGAATCTATGCAACATATAAAAATGTTTTATCATGATATAATAAATATTTTCAGATAAAACTATGTAACTGATGAAAAGCTGTTTTTATAAAAAAAAAAAAAAAAAAAAAATGCAAGGAAAAGCACTAGGCGAAAACTAATTTGTACATTACATTTTGTATAAGAGAGAACTTTTTGTAGCCTGAAGTCATTAAAAGTAGTGAAGCAAACTTAAAAGCAGCATTAATTGCAAACCGATAGTCAGTCTCTGTACGTGTACACGTTAATACATTCGTAAGCAGCTATTCTCACAAATAATGAAAAACTATGAATGATATATTTATACACGATTTTATCAAGTTTTAGGACAAAGCTTATTTTAAGCCCTTGCAAAATTACGATACACAAAAGAAGTTCTCAGAATGTATACCACTTTTATTGCTTCGTATGGTTTCAACATGCATTCAAAATATAAAAATCATTCTATATTTTGACAGTTTGCGAAAAATTATTAGTTTTTGTGCCATATACATGCTATATATATACATATATATATATATAATTGTATTGATATAAGTGCTAAACGATATACTTAAGTATTTCTGGTATAACTAGAGAATCTGCCTCATTGAATGTTGCCCAGTGACCCATTATCAAAGCTACTACTGTTCTTTGCAATGCTGATTTAGAATTTAAATGAACAAGAAGTACTTTTGCATAACACAAAGTTGGACTTGGAGCTGCCGTTGAATAATTTATTCCTGGAGCAGGTTTAACAATGTATTTTGATAGTAATCCAAGCATTCTAGAAGCCATACATCGTGCTCGTGCAACATTTAAGTGACGAGTACTTTGAGGGACTGTTTCTGTACCACCTAAATAAATTTTAAGCTCCGATGGTAAAGATATTTTGGTTGAAACATTAATAGTTCTTCGTGTTGTGATATTTATAAGAAGATTCGTATTGTATGGTATAAGCTCTGATTGCATGGCTAAACACAACCATGTGCCTATTACAGGACAAACTGCATGTAACAAGAGTTCTAAATCACTTTGAACAATTAACTTTTCCCATACACGCTCTGCAATATCTTGAATAACAGGAACATGATCAATTAGAATACGTTGGAAAACATTTTGTAAAGCTTCTCTAAGTCTTAAAACACCATCTTCACCCCATAGCTTTTTGGAATCGATACTAATGTCTTTGTCCTGAGCAACTAGAGTTTCAAGCGTTTGTAAAGTGGCTTTTCGAACACTTGAACTGGGATGGTTAAAAAATGGCCAAAGACGAGGTAAAATCTGTAAGCCAAACAATAAAATCATAGAGAAAACAATTTTCCTTTTAAATATAATTGTGAAAGTATTATTTGCAAAAATTATCATCATAAATGTTAATATCTAGCTACATCTTATCAAAAGATAAAAATGTTATTAAAAACTGAGTTTATTGATAATAATTAAAAAATTTTGCTTTGTTCCACAATTTATTTCTTACTTTTAGTAAGGCTAACAGCTGTTTCGGCATTTACGCCATTTTCAAACGTTCGACATACACAGACGATAACTTCAAGCCAATAGTTCACCCCTACGATATTGAAAGTTTCAAATAAACATAAAAAAATAATAGGAATGTGACTCTAATGCTTGTCGGTAAATTAGAATTCAAATACGTCCAATAGGTATACAAGCGAACGTCGATACACTTTAATCATTGTATCTATAGGCGCATATGTATAGATGGCGGTACTTCTCATACAAGCACTCTCTATAACTATCCATACATGCGCTTTCTCCATACATAAGGTATAGAAAATACTGATAATACAAATCCACATAATTTCTTTTTCAAGAAATTTTTCTTTGGAGAAATAATTAAGAACGAGAAAAAAAAGTTGCTCAAGTGGTAGAGCAACTGTCTAGTAAACAGGAGGTTGTGTGTTCGATCCGCACCCGGGGAGGATTTTTTCTCGTCCTTAATTATTTCTCCAAAGAAAAATTTCTTGAAAAAGAAATTATGTGGATTTGTATTATCAGTATTTTCTATACCTTATATATTGAGAAAGAGCATGTATGGATGGTAATAGAGAGTGCTTGTATGAAAAGTACCGCCATCTATACATATGCGCCTATAGATACAATGATTAAAGTGTATCGACGTTCGCTTGTATACCTACTGGAAGTATTTGAATTCTAATTTACCGACAAGCATTAGAGTCACATTCCTATAATATCCAGCTTAGGTGAAAGACAGCTTAAGAATTAAGAACGAGAACTTATCTAAACTTACGGTGCGAGTGAATGCACAGCTCCTCGGTAGCTCAAGTGGTAGAGCAACTGTCTAGTAAACAGGAGGTTGTGTGTTCGATCCGCACCCGGGGAGGATTTTTTCTCGTTCTTAATTATTTCTT